TTACGCCTTCCAGAACTATATTAAAATAGATTTGCCCTACTTTAGGTGCCTAAATGTGTGGTCATCTGTTTGCGCAGCCACCAGAGACTCCCATACTCGTGGAGAGGTGGAGTCTACTCTTTCTGCCCTGGAACCTTGGCAGGCTTGCGTCAGCTGAGAATCAAGTAGAGCAGAAGTGATGCTGTGTAGATTCCCGTGTGAAGTCCTAGGAGACAGCAGGGCTTCCATTTTGTTCTTTTGGGGATAGATGGGGGAGGATTTATGCTCCATTTAAAGAGTGTGTCTTCATTTGATTCCCGCTTCTGTGAGTTGTGTATGCTTTGTAATCAGGTCAATTTGTGTTTTTCACTGGTTTTAGGATCTTACCCTGATGTGCAAAATTAACTCATCTTAGTTTGAAAACTTTCATATTTGTTTCTCTATGTGCACAGTATAATTTTAAAAATCATTTTCTGAATGGTCTGTACCCCAGTAAAGCCAACATCTTCAAGATGAGTTTTTTTTTAAGCTGTGCAGGTTGCATGAAGAAAGCATCATTAGCATCCTAAAATTTTCATCTTGCTATATTTTCGGTTCCCATGCTATTTTACACCAAGACAGCCTTCATAGACTGTGTTTACTATTACATAAAACATTTAAATGCTAAGTGCAAAGTATATATGGGACAGAGATTGAACAGCACAAACTCCTCACCCCACTTTGAACCTCAGGAAGCAATTTCTCAGCATTTCAAAAATAGCTTTGTGTTACATAGATGGTACGTAGCTTGCCTTCTTCCTTCATCCATATACGCGGGCTGCAGTGCACATTCATTAGCACATAGAAATCTGTCTCGTTTTCAGTGAATGTATGTAAGGTGGTCCAAGGAGTGGACTTCCTGCAGTTCATCTGGACACACACACAGAAATAAATGTAAAAAATAAGCCTCCAACAGAAAGCTTCAAGAAGAATGTATGGAACTTAGGACTTGAAAATGGATTCCTAAAAACCCGCCAGGCAAACAGGAAAATTTATGTCTTCTTTCTTACAAGTATCTTTTGATTTGAAGAACTTGTTATGGATTCCTGAAGAGGTGCTAATTCACCCCATACCAAGAGATGCCTCTTTGTGCTTTGAGTGTCCAGGACACTGCTGAATTGCAGGAGTTAGGGAGCTTGCACACACCTCACAGCTGAAAATACACAAAACTCCTGGAGGGAGGTTCCTTTTTTTTTTTTTTTTTTTTTTTGAGACAGAGTCTATCTGCAACCCCAGCTGGCCTGGAATTCACTTTGTAGACCAGGCTGGCCTTGAACTAACAGAGATCGCCTACCTCTGCCTCCTGAGTGCTGGGATTAAAGGCATGCACCACTACACTTGGCTTCTTTTTTAACTGTACAAGTATCTATTTTATTTTTAAACTATAGACCATGACTTTCTTCCTGAAGAATGTTGGTCCAGTTGAGTTAAATGAATTTACAAATATATTTTCAAGTCAGACAACACTATCTATGTAAGTTAACTACTAGAAGTAACAAGTACAAATAGGTTTTGTTATATAATTACTAACAGAAAAGTCATTTCATAACCACATAGCACTTTGAGGGCAATGATAAGTATCTGTAAATTTATACTTAAGTTCAATAAAAACAAATAAAAAGGAAATCACTGAGCAGTTAATGTGTATAATACACTGTACTGTGTAACAGGAACATTATAATTCTGCGATTACCTTCAGACCATACTGTGTGGTATCCTGTCTTCCAAACTGAAATATTTAAGATATTCATTTAGAAATGGGAAATATTGCTTCCCATGTGATAGATTTAATCATACTAGTAATATAAATGTCACTTTTACTCATATAATTACAATTTGGAAGGAAAAAAAGCTACATGAGAAAATCCATATATACATATAGAAAATGAAACAAGATCCTCACAGAAAATCAAAACTGGGTGAATACTGAGTGCCTCACCACAATTCTGCTTTATGAGATAAAATTCTGATTGCCATTTCATCAGTCTCATTTGGTTATTAAGTTTACAGAGATGACATTCAAGAAATGGGCAGAACTTTCAATATTGCAAAGGCACAAAGTGGTTTTGTTCCAAAGCACCAGCTCTCGTGAGTCCATTCATCATACAGGTAACAGTGCCTACAAGCAGATTTGAGGGCTTCTAGTTTACAGCAGTATCTGTACACCATTGCCAAGCTCAGAGGTCCAAAAGATGTATAACAAATTTTCATAGACCAATTGCTCATAGATGGAGAAAGGGTGGATATTCACTGTGCTTTTTGGACTATTTCTTCAAGTAGCAAAATATAATCAACCTTTCATGAACTCACTAGTCCAGATTACTTTCCCTGACTCCAATGCCATCTTAAGTGAGATCCTCTTGGGTATGTGTGTGGGGACAGTCGGTCGTAGAAAGCCGAGGTCACCTGCCCCACTGCCCAGGAGCCTAGAAGCTCACAGTCCCTAACACTGACCCTGTACTTGCTCTCTTCACTAGCATCCATTGTCAATGAAGACTTTGACATTGAATAAAGCCAGTCCCTGCCCTCCTTCACTTTGAAGCAAGAATTTGGAAAGTTCAGGGAGCAGCCTCTGAGCTCCCCAGCCACTAGCATTTCTGCTTCCCTGTGTTCTCTGTCAGGGTCAGTTCACAGAGGGGAAAGAGTAGCTGAATAGGCTGAGTTTCAAAGGGCTAGCAGGCAGACAGGGTTAGGAGGGGAGACATCAAGGTGCTTCTGAGCTGTTTTGGTCAGTTCCACCCCCAGGTCTTCCCGATTTGTGCTTCCCACAATGCCACCAGCTTCATGGTTGGGGGACTGATGGGTAATAAGAAGAGGTGCTGCTGCTGGACTGCATCTTGAGATTCCTCCTCAAGGAAAACAAGAAACTTATGGGCCTTAGAACACAGAATACATGAAGGGAAAAAGCATGCCAATGATCCTGGGACAGATACAGAACAAGAAGAGGGAGATGGGCACGGAAAGCCTCAAAATTGAGGGGACATAAGGAGATTTCCGAGACATTGGTGCTTAATTGTCAAATGGATGACAATAAGGTAAAGGGCTCAGGAGTGGAGTCCCTGGATACTCCTAGGAGATATCCTGAGACGGTGGCAGGTTTGAGGCCCTCCAAGAGCAATAAAACCCCCAAGCCACCTTGGGAATGGACTCAACTCTTGGCTTTATTTAATGTTACAGTGTGTGTGTGTGTGTGTGTGTGTGTGTGTGTGTGTTTGTGTGTGTAACTTGGAAATGATGGAAAACACAAAGTATGACTAAATGCTCGACAAACGTGATTTTTATATTCTTTTCTAAATTGTTAGGTGAAAGATGAATGAAGAATGACACCTAATACGTCCCGCCACTTCTCCGACGTGTGCTTTCATGTGTCTCATTTAATCTACAAAGTAGCTCCTAGGAATTACCCCCATTTTATAAATCTGAAAACAGGTTCAGCAAAGACTCTTTGAAAAAATATCTTAAGTCATCTATTCCAAAAACGTGAATGTTTGTCATTGGGGGAGTGTTTGATTTCAAAAAATGTTTTGATTTAATTTGAAGTATGTCATTTGCAATAGAAAGTAATGTTTAAAACTATATAGCAGCCTTAGCCAACATCATAAACTAACCTTTGTCATACACACCAATCCATGTCTTCCATTTTCCATTTGTTAAGAGATACTTAAGCAAATGGAGCAGGGCTAACGCCCAACATCAGAAAGGAATTTCCAGCTGTCTTGGTTCTGATTATGGCCATCTACAGAAGCCATGTCTTCCTCTGCTGGACTACTTCTAGATGTTCCCTTTTTGTATCTTATGTGCACCAAGTCTAAGAGGTCACACAAAGCCCTCCTTGCAAACCTCTCCACAGAGCAATCAGTAGTAAGTGCTTAAAGCCAAAAAACCATAAAAGTGAACCTCCCATTTAGGTACAGGAACAGTATGCATCCATTTAGTTCACATAGTGAAAGTCAAAATAATCAAGTCATTTGAGCACAGAGAGACAATTAGATGAGGCCTGTGCTGCCTCCTTCATTACTGCATTCTATAAGTGTATACAGAATCACAAGGGGAGGTCAGCTGCTTACAAGGTTCCTAGGTTTGGGTTGGCTTGCCCCTTAGACATCCCTGAAAGAAGGCACTGATGTAGTAGGTACCCAGGAGGACAAGTAGAGTGTGGATACCCGAACTGGGGAGAACACATTAATCCTCACATCCTGCTCCAAAATAAAGTTCTTTGATTCTTAGTCTTGGTTGTTGTGCTGGTTAGCTTTGGTCAACTTGACATAAACTAGAGACATCTGGGAAGAGGCATAGACATGTTGGCTTGTCTGTGGGGTATTTTCATGATTGCTGGTTGATGTAGGAGGGCCTAACCCACTGGCTAGTGCCATCCCTGGGCAGATGCTCCCTATATGTACAAGAAAGGTGGCTGAGCAAACCAGGGGAAGCAAACCAGTAAACAGCACTCCCCTATAGTCTCTGATTCAGTTTTTGCCTCCAGATTCTTACCTCTAGCTTCTGCCCTGATTTCTCTCAGTGATGTATTATACCTTAGAAGTGTAAGATGTAATAAACCTTTTCTTCTCCAAGCTGGTCTTAGTCAGTGTTTTATCACAGTAACAGAAAGCCAAACTACAAAAGTTGTCTATGGAGATAAAAATAATAGCCATCTAAACTGTCCCAAACATATTAATTCTTTCTGAAATCCCTTCAGGGGGCCTGCACTGGCATTTTATATCTCTTCTGAGAATTTATGAAGAATGAAATCAGGGCTCATGACATCTGATACCTGACATATTTATGTCACTGAGCTCAGGGGCTTTTAAGTGTCAGAGAACAGCATAGAAATAGAAAGCTATAGACATGTTTGATAACGAAATTTTCATCCTTTTATTCATAAAGTACCCCGTATGAATCAGTTGTGTGGTAGAACTGAAGATGCAATGCTGGGGGTGGAAAACACTGCAGATTCTTTTCTGTGACACAAGATATATACCTCTCCCAAATTTTCCTTTGATAACAGGTTCCTATCATTAGGCAACTCCTAACTGTATTTAAATTCTGTCACTGCATATGGTAATTTTTTCAGGTTGGCAGCACTAGACCTGCTTCCTGTCTGTGGAGTTTCTGATGTCAAAGAAGGCTAGATCATCTGCTAAACTTTCTCTTGCACAAGTTACAAGTAAAGGGCTGCTAGCCAGTGTGAGTTCTCAGGTGTTTAATAAGGTGAATGTTCTGAGTGAATCCTTTCCCACATTCTTGACAATGAAAAGGTTTCTCTCCTGTGTGAGTTCTTTTGTGTATACGTAGATTTGCACTATGACAGAAGCTTTTCTGACACCAGGGACATATATATGGTTTTATTCCTTGGTGTATCAGGCAGTGCTTTGTAAGATCCAATTTCTGCTTGAACTGCTTACCACACTGCTGACATTTAAAAGGCTTCTCTCTGGTGTGAACTATGTGTTGTTTACTAAGGGAAGAACTAATTCTGAACCTTTTCCTACCCTTCTGACATTTGAAACCTTTGACTCTTCTGGTGGTTTCCCTGCTAGCCATGGATTTTGGAAGCTCTTCCTTACTAACTAAAGCTAACTTTCTTTCCCTCTTTTGGAAAAGCTTGACCATGTATCTGTGCCCCATGGTTTTCCTTGCTGTTATTTTCCTGGGCAGTTTTCAGTCTAGTCTTCCTTGACACTTTTGATGGTCTTGCTTCTCTTTCTGATGCAGAAACAGATTTACTCTGATCATTTCCAGTGCCACTTTTGAACTTTAAACCTGTTTGAATAAAGGGAAGAATCAGTCAGGTGTTTCTTAGAACAATGGAAATTAATGAAATGAAGAGAATCATCAATGATGACTACTTAAAGAAAACAACAAAACACTTCAACTAATTCTTTCTGTTTCAGTCTGGAGAAACTGGTCCAGGTTCATTTCTCCCACCCACTCGACACAACAAGATCACTGAGTAATGTCAGAAGCCACAAATGACAACACTAAAAAGTGGAAAGAAGTCAAAGTATTTGGGGACTCAAGGATTTTAGAAAAACATAGCAAGGGCTATTACACCTAAACACCCCACAGAAAGCAGTAATTCAAACCCAGTATTTTCTAACCCTAAACTAGCTTCAGAAGACTGCCTGGATAAACTTGGTCCTTTCTCAGCCTGAGAGTGAAAACTTCTTAAAATATTAGGCAAACCAGACACTAGTGTAAAAGGGAATCCTCCTCATGTGTGTCAGGTAGCTTACAGGGGATACCTGCATTCTATACCTGGATGGAAATGCTACCCATAAACAGCTGAGAGATAGTAATGTATATAAGAATGATCACCCAGAGAGATCAAGCCACACAAAGGCTAATGATCAAGAAGTCTCTTTTAAAAAGTAGACATGAGGCTTTCTTCCTTTAACAGGGGACACCAAAGTGAAGAGGCAGAATTGGCAAGGTGGACCCTACTATAACAGGTCACTTGGCCTAGGAAGCCTCTTTCTCTGCAAGGGTTTGAGATTCTCTTTCTTTGGTGAGATACTTGGCCTAAGAAAATGGCCTCTATGTCCTGCCCTCAGAACTATAGCACCATTCAGGACCCATGGTAGACCTAGTAGTATCAGAGAAACCAAAGACACAAAATTAATACCACAAAGGCTGTGGAAACAAAACTCATTTGAAGAAAGTAAGCTGCATAAAAGTAATAAACAATCTGTATGCTAAATTTTCTAAAGCAGGGTGTCTGTTAAAATAAACATAAATAGGACGAAAGCACTCTTATTAGAATACACAAAATGATCAGGATATGATAAGGAGTAATTCACAAGTCTAAGAGTTAAAGAAATCATAATTCGAGGAAAAGGCAAATCTGATGGAAGTGTAATCCAACTAGTAGAAAAGTGCAAGTGGGTAACAGACATTTTAGACATGTGGAAATAATATAAACAATGTGTGGTTTGAAGAAAATACTCAAATTTTTATTTAGATTTTAATGAAGATGAAATTAAACTACATCAATGCATACAGAATATAGTTAAGTGATCAAAGGGATATTGGTAGTTGTAAGTGCCTATAGAAGGAAAGGTTCACAGGTCAATAATCTAAGTTCACAACTCAAGTTGATATAGCAAATTAAGCCTGAAACATGAATAGGTGAAATACTAAAAAATACAAACAGAAATCATAGTGGAATAAAATGTAATTTTTATAAAAATAAAATTTGTAAATCACTACCAAGACTGACAAAAACCAAGAGAAAACAAATCACTAACAAGAAGCATCAAGTATAATCCGGCTTTGTTGAGCCTGACTGGTTATAATCCTCTTACCAGGGAGACACCTGCAGGGGAGAATCATGACTTCAGTACTAGCAGGAGGTACACTGTGAGACTCAGTCTCAAATTGCCACGCTCAAAAAAAAAAAAAAAAGAATATAGGGCATATCGTTTTACATATTAAAAGATGGCATGAGAGTACTATGTGCTTTATATTAATGAATTTTAAAATTTCATAAAATTGTACTAACTCTTGGAAAACAGTAAAAAAGTACAGAATTTAACTAATGTGAAATTGACATCCCAAATAGCACTCTGGCCCTTAAATAAAATGAGCTTGTAATCTGGAGGATTTCCTCCTCAAAAATCTCTTGATCCACAGGTGTCACTGGAGAATCCTATCAAACACTTTAAAAATTGACATCTTCAGGGCTGGAGAGATGGGTCAGTGGTGAAAAGCACTGGCTGCTTTGGCAGAGGAGCCATATCCAATTCCCAGCACACACAGGGTGGCTAACAATCATGTGTAACTCCAGTTCCAGGGGAATCCGACGCCCTCTTCTAGCCTCCGAGGGCATTGCATGGCATGGTTGCACTTACATACATGCAGGCAATACACTCATACACATAAAAAAATTTGACAGCTTCCGGGGCTGTAAAGATGGCTCAGCGGTTAAGAGCACTGACTGTTCTTGCAGAGGACCCAGGTTCTATTCCCAGCACCCACACGGCGGCTGCGAACTGTCCTTAACTCCAGTTCCAGGGGAATCTGAAGCCCTCTTCTGATTTCCGCATCATTGCACAACACGGGTGTACTCACATACATGCAGGCAATACACGCATACACATAAAATAGTAAAGTTTTTCTCCCGCCAACGCTCATGTGCAGGGCGAGGTCTCCAACCTGGAGTGAGGTAGAAGCAGCGGCACCGCCTCCTGACCTCTGGTTCCACCGCCTTCGGTGGGATCCGACATGGCCCAGAACCTGAAGGCCTTGGCAGGATGCCTGCCCGCCGGGCCTCAGGGCATGGGCACCGCGCTGAAGAGCCTGCTGGGGGCAGGTGCCGTGGCCTATGGCGTCAGCGAATCCGTGAACGGTGGAAGGCGGTCACAGAGCCATTTTTTTAAATCGGATCGTTGGCGTGCAGCAGGACACCATCCTGGATGAGGGCCTTCACTTCAGGATCCCCTGGTTCCAGTACCCCATCATCTATGACACTCGGGCCAGACCCCGAAAAATCTCCTCACCCACAGGCTCTAAAGACCTGCATGCAGATGGTGAACATCTCCCTGCGTGTGCTATCTCCACCCAAAGCCCAGGAGTTCCCTAGCATATACCAGCGTCTAGGGCTAGACTACGAGGAACGAGTGCTGCCATCCATTGTCAACGAGGTGCTCAAGAGTGTTGTAGCCAAGTTCAGTGCCTCACAGCTGATTACCCAGCGGGCCCAGGTGTCCCTGTTGATCCTAAGGGAGCTTAGAGAGCGAGCCAAGGACTTCAGCCTTATTCTGGATGGTGTAGCTATCACAGAGCTGAGCTTCAGCCAGAGCACACAGCTGCTGTAGAAGCCAAACAAGCGGCCCAGCAGGAAGCCCAGAGAGCCCAATTCTTGGTGGAAAAAGCTAAGCAGGAACAGCAGCAGAAGGCTGTGCAGGCTGAGGGAGAGGCTGAGGCTGCCAAGATGCTTGGAGAAGCCCTCACCAAGAATCCCGGCTACATCAAGCCGGGAAAGCTGCGGGCTGCCCAAAACATCTCCAAGACGACTGCCACATCACAGAACTGCATCTATCTCACAGCCTACAACCTCGTGCTGAATCTCCAGGATGAAAGCTTTACCCAGGGAAGTGACAGCCTCACCACCGGTAAGAAATGAATGTGATCATCAGAAACTCCACCCCCAGAGAAGTGGATGGGTTTCTTCTCCAGTTTTTGAGGCTCCAGTGGAATGGGGGAATCTCTTGCACACCCCTCCTGACACCAGTATCATGTGATGGTCCCTCAGCACTTGCCCTCTTGGATTAAGGAAGACAGAAGACCAATCCTTTTGGAGAGAATGGCTTTCCTCCTCCCTGTATTGGCACAGGGGGTTGGGTCAATGTGCGATTTCTCAGTAATTTCCTACAATGTTGTTCCCTCCCTCAGAGTGGGAGGAGAGAACCACTATCCCAGGAATTCTCAATAAATTTTTATTACTAAAACTGAAAAAAGAAATAAAATAAAAAAATTTTAAATTAGGTAAAAAAATTTGACAACTTCCTTCATTCAATCTCTTTCAGAAAAGAGGAACAATATTACCAGAGTCATTTAATATGATGCTAACACTCAAATCACACTGAGGCAGTACTAAAAAGGAAAACGACAGACTAACACCAGCAGGAAGTTAAATATGAAAATTATCAACAAAATATTACCTGACTGCAATACTGTATAATAATAACATACAATGGCACAGTGAGCTTTAATGAAGGATGAAAAGGTCAGTACACCTATAATATCAGCATTCTGGAGATGAAGGCAAGAGAGTCATTAATTCAAGGTCTGATTGAGATACACAGCAAGAAGCTGGAGAGAGAGAGAGAGAGAGAGAGAGAGAGAGAGAGAGAGAGAGAGAAGCTGAATATGGTGGTGGCACATGCCTTTGATCCCAGTACTCTTGGGGGGCAAAGGCAGGAGATCTCTGTGAGCTCAAAGGGAGCTTGGTCTACATAGCAAGTTCTAGGCCAAGAAAATTTCAATACTGAATACAAGAAACTGAAACTAATTCAGTAAGGCAAGACAAAAAAGATCCAGAGGTTACCCAAAAAAATCTACAAACACACACACACACACACACACACACACACCAACAACAACAACAATCTCTGGTGACTTTTACTACAAGCACAAAGTACAAGACCCAAACATAAAGTTCATGGCATCATATATAAAATAATATATAATATATATGGGACTAGAGAGATGGCTCAGTGGTTAAGAGCACTGGCTGCTCTTGTAGAAGACTTGGTTTCGAGTCTCAGCACCAATATGGTGGCTAACAACCATATGTAACTCCAGTTCTAGGGGATTTGATGCCGTCTTCTGACCTCCAAAGACATTACCTGGTATGGTTGCACTTAATAGATGCAAACAATATACTCATACACATAAAATAAAAGTAACAAAAATAAGAAGAATACATATGAGGAAACCAAAACTAAAAATAATATCACTGCAATTGCTACAATAAGAATGAAAGCCTAAACATATACCTCACAGAATTTGAAGACCATTTATTGCTACATTGAAAATTCTAAGAAGTTGATGAAAGAAATCAAAGTACAGCCAAATTGAGACAGTGTATTCATGGATTGGAAGAGTCCACACAATAAAGATGTCAGTATACTTCAAACAAATTTACAGTTTTAACATTTTTAAAAATTTAAAGTTTATTTTCATTTTGTATGTATGAATGTATTACCTGCATTATGCCAGTGCACTTGTGTCATGCAGTGCCTGCAGAGGACAGGGCCTGC